CTCCCCCTGCCCCAGCCGAAGCAGGGGCATGTCCTGCCTCCCCCGCCGAGTTCCAGTAAAACTCCAGGTACCCCATGCCAGACCCGCTGGGGTAAGCCTGATGGTAGGGGGGCAGAGCCAAGTGTGCACACATCAGGGGCAGATGAAGGGGTGGTTCCCCCACCTTCCAATAGATGCCACCTCCACTTGGGGGGGGGGCAGGTCTCACCAGCAAGCTGAGGTAGCCCCGAAGTGTAGACAGGTAGTTACCTTTATAGCTGGCTATACCCTGCCTGGGACTGCAATATCCACCATCGTCCTTCAGGCTCTTTGTCATGTTAAAGAGGCTGATGGGTGGGGTGGGGACAGAGCAGGGTGGAGTGGGGGGAGAGAAAGCCACACATGGCATCAGGGCTAAAATATGCCCCCTCTGAATTCTTCCCATTCTGCAGGTTCCTCAGTCACACCTGAGCAGGGTTCTGACCCAGAGCCCCAGGAAACCTCTTCCTGCTTGTTTCTTTGGGCTCAGCTCAAATCGCCCTGTCACAAAATAATCCCATGAGTGCAGATGTCCTGTAGAAGAGAGCTGTTCGCTGCACTGGGAGAACAAACCCCAACCAATCTCCACCACATGAGAGTGGACAGGAGGTAGATCTGGTGCTGAGCTGCACAGTACCATGCCAAGCAAACCCAAGCCCTGGCTCCAGGTTATGGGGAGGGTTCTGAGACCTTTGCTTCCTGGCTTGTGTCACACTGACACCCCTACAAGACCCACACACACATGCACACACCCTCCCCACGTGGCAGCACTTCCCACACTCTTGGTGCAGATGTCAGAGATGGAGCAAGGGGGGACCTGGGGGCTAGAAACCACATTTTTTTTGAAACTGAGAAGGAATTTCCTTCACACAGGCATTTGAGGGAGCCAGCTGAAAATGTGTCTGGCCCATCTTCCACATGTCTGCCAGAGCAAGCTCAGAAACACTGGACAAGTCAGATGCAACATCAGATCTCATTTTGCAGAGCAGACTCAGAAATCTCAGCTGACTGGTCTACAGAGGGACAATCGGCAGAGACTTTTTCGCTATGGAGGCAGGAAAAGATTTAGTGCAGATGAGGTCCACAGCTAACAGATTTGGTCCCCCATGGCCTTTCAAAGACACATTTCATTTGTACAGTCTTGGCCTTTGCCAGGCTGTCCCAGGCTGTCTGTAATAAAGAAGACAAAGTGTTTCCTTTAAGGTAGGGTTAGCTGATGTTTGCTGACATACAGCCCACCCAAGGGGGACAGGCGCCTGCAGAGCTGTTCACTAAATAACTAGAGGTAAGTGAGCGAGCCACAGAATTCAGCTATGGGCCTGCAGGTTGGTCTGCTCTATGGTCTTGCTCCAGTTCCTTCCCCTCAGGAGGTTTTGCCTGTGTTTAGGAAGATTTTAGTAGTTTCATCTCTAGAGACATTGCAAGTCTCTAGCTAATGTCTGTATTTCTCAGTACACAGACAGAAGCCCCAGAGTTCATTCAAATATTTTTTGCTAGAACCAGCTCTGCCTTGGCACCAGGACACGTGCATGTCTCATGTCAGAAGCTCACAGCTGAGGGTGCAGGTCCACAGAAGTGTAAAATGATTTAATCTGGACTGTCCCTGCACCCCTCTGCATCTCATTGCTCCACACGTTCTTGTTGCTGCCTTCTTCCCAAGCCTGTGCTAGCACCCAGTACCTGCCCAACAGGCCAGAGAGGGCGACCTGCTTGCTGTGAGAGTGTTCAAGTATCAGCAGGGAAAAGAAACAGAGAGGTGAGGGTGAGCAAGAGCATAGGAAGCAGGATTTAGATCATTTTAAAAAGAGGCAGAGCACCACTTCTACCAGCACTTCTCCTGCTGCTCTGTGTCCCATGGCAGGTTACTAGTCCTGGCTTCCCTGCCTGTAGAGCAGAGGCAACTTGGGAGCGTTCTGAGAACCTGCGTGGGAAGCCAAAAGGAACTTCAGGACTGGTCTGTGAGTGAACCTGAAAACCAATGCAGCTGCTCTTGAGCTGTCATGGGCAGACTATTCAACTCACTTGCCACATCACAGTATGATTCTGCTGCCTTGGGACCAACTACTTTCCCATGAGGTGCAGACTGTAGGGAAATAAGGGCCTGGCTAGGGTGTCTTTAACTTGACATTCGATATTATGCTTTCTGTTTGTATGAAACACTTTTCTATGCCTACAAACTGCAGGGACTGACATCTCTCTGCACAAGAAATGCAGTTTTAAATACGAAAGTCACTTGAAAACTTAAAAATAAGAAAGGGCTTTTGAGCACATCTGCCCTGATAGAATCCCAAGAGCATCCTGAATATGGCAATTACTCTGCAACAGCCTCTACATGGTGATTTTGGCTCGTGCCTCACTTCTGAATCATTCCATGTTTCAGAGCTCCAGTGCCACAGATCACAGTCCCTCATATCTGCCCTCAGTCCCTAGCTAATTAAGCAAAGGGAGAGACACCAATGACATGAGCTGTACAGAGCTTGGGACCCCACTGGGCAGCCCCAGTGCCACCAGTCAAGAGGAATGACATGTGCTCCTTTATGGTCATGTCTGGCTTGTTTCTTGGTGTTCAAGTTTTCATGGCCTTAGGTGCAGTTAGAAAATGAAAACAAGGTAGTAGACCTGGAGGATACCAACATATCTTCTAAGATGGTTTAATCTGAAGACCTGGCAGAAAACATGGTAAAGGTCTGGGGTGCTGGCATTAGTGGCAGTGGGTATCTGTGTCTTCACCATGCTTGTTTGGAGTCTCACTGGCTTAGCACTTCGCACTTGATCTCCTTGATTTCAGCTACTTCTGAAGGTGTCTGGGATCTTTCTTGCAAAGTGCCCTGAGGCCATAATAAACTAGCATAGTCACCGGCACTACAAAGTCCCGCTGGGCAGAAGCCAGAAGCCAGGGAGGAGGGTGGTGCTCCCCCCTGGAGCAGAGCCACCCACCTAACTGGACCAGTGAGTGGGGCAGCACAGAGGGGGTCACCTCCCCGGGGGCAGGAGGGGGACTGAGAGGTAGAGGAGCTGAAGGAACCTCAGGGCCTCATCCCCCCAACCCATGGTTTCAGAGCAGCACCACCTCTCTCTCACGGGGCAGCTTATCTCCCCCGTGCAACACGTGATGCAGCCTGTGGCGCAGGGAGCAGCTCCCTAAAACCGGCACTGCAGGCAGCTGACACATGTGGCTTGGCATCAAACTGAGTCAGACCCTGGTTGATTTGCTACTGTGTTATTCCAGGCTGGGCCCGGCTACTCACTATTGTCCCACGATGATCTCCATGAGAGCCTTCCCAGGCTCAGGCTCTTGGCTCAGAGGACTTTCTAGTATCTTAACCTTTATCTGCTCTTCTGTACCATGAACCTGAAAGCACATTCCACTAAAAAGAGGGTAAATTCTTCACAGGCATGTTAGTAACATGATCTTTCATCAACAGCTAAGTCCTTTGCTTTCTCTGAGATGGCACTGGACTGTGCAACAATCACAACAAATTAAACAGTAGCTTGTAAAGGACCAGATTTCCTCCATAAAGGCAGTGAGGTAGGAAGACTAGCAGTTAGAGGGAGGAGGAGGAAAGAGGAAAAGTCCTGATTTTCTGTCCCCATGCCCTCCACAATGTGGTTGTAGCTCATGCTGCCTTGCCCAAGAAAGCCACAAACCAGTGAACGCAGGTGCTACTGAGAGGGTAACTGCAGTGACATGGAAGGCAGGAGAGGCTGCAAAAACAACCTTGAAAACTAGGCTGGGATTATGGACATCATTCAGAAAATGCACAAGCAGAGCACAAGATGGTGAACATGCTCACAGAAATGGTTTTTGTAACTAGCCCCTTTCACTGGCACAGTCCATATGGTTGTGACAACCTGATTTTCTTATAACAATCCCTGCCTAGCCATGTGTTGTCACTGCCCCAATGTCTTCTACACCTTTCATAGCTGACCTCAGGAAAATCATCCTTCCAGGCAACAGCTTTTGATTTGCTTGGGTTTTTTTTTTTTTGCTTCTGCTTTTCACTGGGGTTTTAGGTAATAAATTACCTTTCAGACCTCTTCATTTGTCAGTTGCTGCTCTTTTCTCCTAAAAGAGGAATCAGACAGGGTCAAATGGGAAAGCTCAGCTCTGCATAAAGACACTGGATGGACCTGACTCTGAGATGTCTGTGCTCTGGCAGTGTCCCATGACAGCTAACACGCAAACAAGGCTTGACGTGTACAGCATGGATGTAACAGAGCAAGAACTGAAAGTTAAAGCTGAGAGCATCCTGACTCGGCTCAGGTGTTCAGTCACAGCTTGAGCCTTTTTAGCTCACTTGTTGGTGTAGCTTTGCTCAACAGCTTCTTCAGTGAAGATACAGCTGATGCCACCAACAGGAGTATTGCTACATCTGCATTCAGGTTTAGCTGGCAGAGCTTTGGCAGTTTGGGCTGCAACAGTTTAGAAGTCCTTATTGCTACCGCTATACCAGGAAAACACCAAGTTTCTTGGAGGCTTGGTCTCACCAGACCCGACTGGAGGGGCGCGTGGGGAGTACCTCTGCCCAGAGGGACCTGCACTGCAGGCTCACTTGCTGCTAGCAGCAGGCGAGCACCTGGAAACCCTCCAGAGGCTTTCTGGGCCATACAATCACTTTCTGAGACTAGTAATATTGGCAAACAAGCATTTTTTTCTGTCCAAGTTGGCTTTTAAAAAAAGTATGCTTTTCAGTCCTTGAACTTGTTGAATGTGGTTTTGGTTAGATATTGAAAGATAATTAATGAAGTTGTTTTAAGAAAAAGGCTTTGACAGTCTTGTTTTGTCTCCTTTCTTTGAAGCCTTAAACAAATGCTCTGCTTTGTTTGAAAATTTGCAGGGGTTTTGTGATTGACATTGATAGTAATGGCTTAATCTAAAGACATTTTTAAAAGCAAAAAAGTGGAACAGTAATACAGTTTGAATGATAGGAAGCAAAATAGCTGAAACATTCCCACGTTACAACGTCTCCCTTTTAACCACTTAGATCAGCATGTTAATTCTTTAATTGTAACTTGAACTTGAATTTACTTCTCTTAAACCACCATATTTTTCTCCAAAGACTTTTCTTTTTTGGTGATTGATCACTTTCTACATTTTTTTCTTTCCTTTGTGTG